TGTGAGGTTCTTGGGTGGCGCCCCCCAGCTCTTCACAACGAGCGAGGGGAGCCTGAGCAGGGCCAGGGCAGCCAACGGGCGCGCGCGAGGAGAGAACGGCGGAACCAGCTCGCGGCGCAGCGGTTCATGGATCGAATACGATTCGAACTTCGGCTCGGGCACAGGGGGACCGAAACTAGTCAAGCCCGCGCCGGCCAAGACAACGACGACAGCGACGAGGGCGCAAGAAGCGACGACGAGGAGACACCCGACCGCGCAGCAGAGCCAGGACCGAGCGAGCCACCCGAAACGGGCCATCCGAACGATGGCAGCCAGGCAGACGACGAATTTACAGTCATGGACGTAGACGAGGAACAGCCAGAGCACGAGGCGTCCCAGCCGCCGAGGAAGCGGGGGCGATTTGAGAACGAACGTAGCGATTCGATGAGTCAGGGAGAGGGGACGAGCCAGCAGCATGACGAGGACGAGGAGCCGATGACGAAGGCACAGAGACAGCGCCAACGCCAGCGGAAGCAGGGATCGCCCCGGAAGCCACCCGTCAAGTTCAGACGCTAACCGAGAGAATGGTGACAAGAAAGGGGGGACTCCGAACGGCCGAGCATGCCCTCGCATGCCGGACAACTAGGTAGGTCATAGACCTCCCCCCTCCTGAGGAATGTGTTTCGTGGATGGTAACTTGTTCATAATGCTGCTTGTACAACCACGACCGACGCGAGGACGCTAGTCCACCAACCTCGGCCATTCCAACGGCCAGACCGCTCGCTTAAGGCTGATTGGCTAGACGAGCGGTCTCCCTCCACGGGGCTGTTGGCGCAGGGGGAGGTGTCAATCACGCTCCCGGGACGCCGGAGAGATCGGGTTGGTCTCCCCCGCCTTCAGCCCTGACCCGACGGGGACGCCACCACCCTCGCCCAGGGATCTACAACGCTGTCTTAAGGTCCGACCTGTGGGCTCCGGCCTGCGCTCGGCACCGGGCACCGCCTCGGTATACAAAACGCGCCTGCTGGCGGACCCTCACAGATCACAGATCACGAACCTGGTCCGCGAACACACCCAGTCACACTGGTGTATATGGCGCCCCGCGGTCCACCTCTTGCCTGCGTCTGCTTGCTCCTCGCCCTCTCGATAAATGATGCGCAGGAGCCTCCACCCGCCGAGGAGCCCGCCTTCGTCGAGCCCGAGGTCGAGGAGAGTGCGCTCTCGCGCTCGCGCCGTGCCACGCATTCGGTCGACCACCGCCCGCTCC